TTCCTCGGGGAATACTCTTTGACTCGCGCATATTTCTTCACTCTCGAGATATAGTTCGAGCTTGAAGATTCTATTGATATCTCTCTAAATTTATTTTGGATATACATAGCTCTCTGTCTATTCTTGAAGTGTTCATTTTTCATACCGTCATTTGGCTGACGTTCTCAATTGTTTTTCCTCGTTCGTTTGACGCTTCGTTAACTCGAACAGCCACTTGGTTTATTCGCAAACCACTGCGCTTTCTATCAATTTTTTTATTTGTAAATGAAAGAAAAACGATGAATACGCGTTGCCTCTCGCGAGAATCGCTGTTGATTATCTGCGTTCATCCATGATTGGGCACGCAAATTGGCTGGGGAAGAGATTCTTAAACTCTAGATCAATGATCACCAATGGTTTATCCTCTTTTTTTTCAAAATAATTTCAGTTCATTGTAAACTCTATTTTCTTTGCCGTTCGATAAGTTCGACATCATTCTGATTGTAACATCGTTGAGCAAACGCATACTTTTATGCGCGCATGAACGCGTTGTCGTTTAATTAATTCCGAGCACGGTCTTAAAATTTCATTCCCGTAGTGTATGGCAGTTGCGTGCTTCGAGCCAATCGTAAATCTTTGTCGTTTCGCGTACCCTCTTATTTTTTAATGCGAATTTTAACGGAAAGTAATTAAAAGGAAGTCGTTAACGTTCCTGACGGCTCGATACTCTGATCCTTACATCGCGGTCCATTGTTTCTTTCTATTTTCTTTTTAACACCGAATCGAATATTGTTTTTCCCAGTGAGCGGAGTTTGTTGGCACGATGCTCCGTTTCTGAAAGCGATCGGCCAGCTGGATGCCGAGTAAATAAACCGCCATACGTTTCCTTGACACCACCCCCAGTGGAACGTTATTAGCGACGGTGAATTTGAAAGTCGTCGATATTCCGTCACCCCACTGTCCCTGGTTCCCTTTTCCCGGTTAATGAAAGTCAAATTAACCGCGGAACCACGACCCTTTCTTGGCTAAATGTTTACCGGATTCCTTGGAACAATGAATTTTGATCGACTCCTCGCGGAAAAAGAAGTTGCAAGGATCTGACTGAATTCCTTTGATTCGTTACTTTTTCTTTTTCCTATTCTTTTGTTTTCGTGAGAGATGTTTAAGTAGATAACAAGGTGATTCGATCGAGCGACGATGAACGAAGGATTCGACATTAAAATAATTGTTTTATAATGCCCTTGGTACACGTAAAATGGAAGAGTGAAAAGGATTAAACGAATAGAGCCCGTAGGAATCATCGCGTTAACAGTCGTTCGTTTTACGGAAGATGACTAATTGGATTGGCGTTCTTTTGAGATAGAACGGGAGCCGTAAAACACGCGATTAAACGTGGATCCATTCAGAGGTGGACCAAGAGATGATAAATCGGACGACTGAATTCGGTTATAGCCTCCTTCGTACTTGGATACGTGCCGTAAAAGCCTGCACACCATTCACGGTATTTAATTTCGACTAGCGAAAGGAATCTCATGGTGAATTGTGTAATCCACTGGAAACCTGTTCACGGGAGCTCGTGGCGATTAAGGATTCCGTGAGTTCAGTTTTAAGTTAAATTCCTCATAGAATTTTCCTAGGCTTTTCCTAGGCACTCTGTAAGCTTTCTCTAGGCACTTTGTAAGTTCTCCCTAGGTTTTAAGTTTTTCCTAACTCTGTAAGCTTTTCCTAGACTTTTCCTAGGCACTCTGTAATTTCTCCCTAGGTTTTCCCTAAGCACTCTGTAAGCTTTCCCTAGACTTTCCCTGGATTTTCTCTAGGCACTCTGTCAATTCTCCCTAGATTTTTCCTAAGCACTCTGTAAGCTTTCTCTAGGCACTTTGTAAGTTCTCCCTAGGTTTTAAGTTTTTCCTAACTCTGTAAGCTTTTCCTAGACTTTTCCTAGGTACTCTGTAATTTCTCCCTAGGTTTTCCCTAAGCACTCTGTAAGCTTTCCCTAGACTTTCCCTGGATTTTCTCTAGGCACTCTGTCAATTCTCCCTAGATTTTTCCTAAGCACTCTGTAAGCTTTCTCTAGGCACTTTGTAAGTTCTCCCTAGGTTTTAAGTTTTTCCTAACTCTGTAAGCTTTTCCTAGACTTTTCCTAGGCACTCTGTAATTTCTCCCTAGGTTTTCCCTAAGCACTCTGTAAGCTTTCCCTAGACTTTTCCTGGATTTTCTCTAGGCACTCTGTCAATTCTCCCTAGATTTTTCCTAAGCACTCTGTAAGCTTTTCCTAGACTTTTCTTAGGCTTTCCCTAGGCACTCTGTAAATTCTCCCTAGATTTTCCCTAAGCACTCTATAAGCTTTTCCTAGGCTTTCCCCTGGCTCTCTGTATCTATCCCTAGACGTTTCCTAGGCTTTCCCTAGGCACTCTATAAGCTCTCCCTAGACTCTCCCTAACCTCGGTCAGTAACTTGCCACGAGGGTAAATTTTTTACCGTTTTTTTCCTGCCTTCTCCCTTGGCCCTCCCCAGATCGAAGAGAATTAATTTAAACCACCCTTCCCCTGTTTATTTTCAATTTTACTAAAATCTTCGAAAAACATAAACACCCCTTAAAAGCACCTAAACTTTCAGAAAAATGGTAATCTCAAGATTCCTCCTAGCATTTTACCGTTGTGCAATTCGTAATGGAAAAATGTCCGTTTAATTTTGTCGAGATCTCATTCAGCTTGAGGATAGATGCGGTTTCAGCGTTTCTTATCCTCTCATTCTTTGATGGAGCTCTTGGGACATTGAGGGATTAAATCTTTGGTTACATCAGACCTTAATGCATAGTTTTTCATCGTAGAATAGGTACACTTTATTGGTTACCCGCAGTGTAATAATTTTTTCTCTTCCTCACACAATTTGAACAAAGAGTCGTCTCTGTTTTTAGTCGAACACGAGTACGGTGTCGTTGATCACGATGAGCCGGAATTAAATTCTTAGAAAGATGTACGCGTGTATGTGCATCGCGGACGGAGGCGTGGGTGTTGCGGCTTCTATCTGGAACATCAGTTACTGGATTTCGCTCGTTTGTTCGATATTATTTTCACCAAGAAATCTGTTGAAACGTTAAACCGTCCGGCATTAAATGTCGTTTTTAAATCATTTTAAATCCCGCTGCAGCGATGCGTTTGGTCGAAATTAATTTTGCATGATTTCATCGAATTCATTGCCCGCCGCGTTATTTATCACGTACCCCGGGGTGAATTTTTATTTCAATATCAATATACAAGTTTCCAATATTATATTCGGAACAGAAGATAAATAGAAGTTCGCATAAACTTTTCGAATACCGTTCGAAAACACCCTTCGACGATGACTGGTGTTTCGAAAAGTTAATATTCAATCCTTCAACGTGGCGCAAAGTTTCAGCCAGAAATCGAGGTTGAATATTTCAAGAATGGAAAAGGATCATTTTCAACGTAGCCACGATATATGATATATCATGACTGCTGTGAAATCGGGTCTAACCAACGACAATGCAAACGTTAACGAGGAAGCATGCTCGATGATAACGCGGATCCGTTTGATTAATCAGAAATTAATAGGGCACAAGTAACGCGGTAAATTTACAGGCAAATATTTTCGCCGGTGATTAATATTCGCTCGTGCGAAAAGACGGGTTCAGGGCTGTATAATCTGGCTGCTTGCATGGCTCATTTGCATTCATTTTTCTTTCAACCGTTTCGCTATTGCAACACTGTTTACAGTCCGTACTTATATTTTTATTGCACGTTCGTCTTTTATTTTGATAATTATAAAGTAAGGATAAATTGTCAGGAACGTTATAGTTGCTTCCAATTATAAATTAGTTTAACGATTCTTATCCTGTAACCTGTAATTTCATACGAATTAAGAACGTTACTGTTCTCTTTTTCGTTTCGTTAATGGCTAACTCATTGTCAGGTAAATTGCAAGGAACGTACGATAATAATCGACCGAATATTTATGAGCCAACGTAACAGAAGTGTAATCGTTCGTTATCACTTGGCGTTTCGTCGTATTTCTTGGTACATAGTTAGCGACGAAGGACGTGGATAATCTTCTTTCGACTAGTATTCTTCCTCCATAAATACCTTTCTGGATACATATCGCGGTAATAAACGTACCAGTTAGACTCTTGCTGTTTGTTCAGTATCGTATTTCAACTCTTTATAGATTCTCCTAAACTCATTTATCAAAGGGAAGTACAATTGACTCGTTCGATTAACGATATTCTAATCGAAAAGAAAATTAATTGAAAAATTTTTAATAAAATAATCATTACTCTTTGTTTTTGATAGGATTTCTTGATTTAATTGAACTTACAAGTGATACATTTTTAATTTGGAATTTATTAGAAGGAGGAATAGAAAATTTTTGATAGGATTTCTTTATTTAATTGAACTTACAAGTGATCAAGGCGTACATCTTTATCTTGGAATTTATTAGAAGTAGCAAGAGAAAAAAAATGGTGTTTTTATTGGCATTTTTGGTGGGGAGATAAATGGTGTCGTGTCTGATCGATGGTAACCGATTCGTATCCATATAAAAAAACACGACGGCGTTAAAGAGTGATGCCGATTTTTCACGTTCGTCCATTCGTTTTTCCCCATTTTTCCTCTTTCGCTGGGAACCGATCGATTTCGCAGTATCGTCGAGATTACCCTCGCATTTTCTCACTTTAATTCACCCACCCCCGTTTCATTGCATTTTTCAACCCTCCGATTAATCCTTTAATCACGTTTTCATTCAACATATTTCATCGTACGATATTTATTCAACACGAAATTTCTTCCATTCCCACGAAGACGAATAACTTTTTTTAAATATCGTTTCCAAAACGGTGAATTTGAAACGGAACGTCCATAGATGAATAAAATATAAAACATTTGGTGAATATTAAAAATCGAATTAAATATTAATTTTATCTATAGTTATATAGAGAGAGGGCTCGTTTGCTTTATTTAATAAAAAATCAAAGCACTGACGGAGTATGCGTTGAAATTTTTCAGATCGGACCTTAAAGAGAGCACAAACGTAAACGAGAGTGGTGAAGATGAGAGAGATCCATCTACTAACAGAGTGTGGAAATTAACCGAGTGTTGAAGTGAGAGCCGCATTAACAGCGTGTTATTAACGTCATGTAACGAACAACGCGAAAGTAATCATGGAGAAGGCCTGCAGCTTACGTTGGAGTAATCCGAGAGCCACCAAGGGTAAGTCGATTTTCACTTTTACACCACTTGTTACGCAGTATCCAGTTTCTTGAACGATTGCATGCGTCTGTCTCCTCTAACCCTTTCGCCATTTACCACTCGGAGCTAAGTTTGTGCTAATTTAATTAAAGTAAGTATGTTCTTCAAATAGGGTCAAAATATTTTCCTTTGCGATTTTACAAATTAGGGTTAATCGAATGAAAATATTTCCCTTTGAGACTTTAATCATTGTATTATCCTTTAAACAACGAAGCCTGGATTAATCGTAACTCAAACTTACAAAATTTTCGGGCTCTCTCCATGGTCCGCCGTTTTGGAGAGAGTTACAATTTAGCGTAATAATTAAACTTTGACTCTATCATTTTTGCATCTACTCGAAAATTTCAACCACGTCCGACGTATTAAGTAAACAATCGAATCGACAATCAATTTAGTAATCGACTCGAACCCGTGTACGCCATGTTTTAACCAGCGTACAAAGCTCAGCAGTTCGAACACGTACAGGGAACATTTTATGCTTTTCAGCCGTGGTGTAGAAAATCGAAAGGGGTCAAAAACAGGTTCTCTCCATTTGTTCCGAGAAACAAATTAGCGAAACGCAGGCTTACGTGCCGACAATTCACTTTCGGTTTCGTTCGGTCCCGTTCTCTGCTCCGTTTTCGCGTTGTTCGCCGGCAGGATCGTAAAACGTGAAAATACCTCGAGTCCTGTCACCTCGAGATCGTTCCTAGGCCTCCTATAATTTCATCTGGTAACCGCAGTGCGATTGACTTTCTCGTTTCTTGACAACTTAGATTTTAAATGTTTCGATTCAATACACCGCGATTAAAATGTTGTCATCGCGAATCGAAAAGAGATAATCATCGGTTCGAGGTCGCTTAGATTGTGTAACAATAAATTGAATTAATCCTAAGGAAAATCTTGTTAACTATATAAATTATTGTTAATGAAACTATCAATTATCGGGTAGAGATTTTTCATCGAACGGAGGATCGCGAATGGATCAGTGAAAAATAAATGCGAGGAAAAGTGAATGGAGATGGGATTTCGTGGTCGACGCAGACACGGATCACGGAATTATTCTGTGAAAATTTAATGCCGGTCTGGGGAAGTGTCGTCTCCGACGGACTTTCGCGTGACTTCTCTTTATTTCGATCGTGATCAAGAGCAGCGAAGGTAACTCGGCTTACTCGTGGCGAGCATTTTAAACAGCGCTCCTCGATCGGCACGAGGCTATATACTCGTCTTGCATAATCCACGATGCACGTGCCGGTGCATAAGAACGCATCATTTCCCGACCTGTACGCAGAATGCATCTGTACTCATCGAGCCTTGTCACTCAAGCCTTGCCAGACGGTATGAATGCCGTTCCTTGTCCCGGCGGACCTTTTATTTTTCAACAGGTGTCGAGATTTTTTTATTTTCAATCAATAGTACCTCCATTGTTATCTACGTACAATGATTCATATAGAAAGAATGGAAAATTACTGAAAAAATTAACCCTTTCAGGATGAAGGTCTCGAATGCACATAAATTCAAATTTCAAATGCATAGTTTAAAAATATAAGGAGTATTTAATGCATATATCGGGTTCCATTCTCCAGAGGTTAATATTTCAGAGAAAAGGGGATGTATTTTTTTATAAATTATTTTTCATCCAAATTTAACGTATATTGAAAATTTGGAATAAATTTCATAGAGACTATTTAGATTCTTCAAATATTTTCCATCTAATAAACCCACACGTCACGGCTTCTAAACTATCTAATTAACCCGGGCTGTGGTATTTATTAGACTTCCGTGGCTAGTAGCCATTATGCTTCCCGTCTCGTTTTTCATCTAGTCACGGTTTATGACTATCAGCGATCCGTAGGTTTGACTTTTCTTAAGATTCAAGGATGCAGAGCCGAGAGATTTGCGTATTCTCGGTCTATTTGTTGCGTAGTCACGTACCGTGTAATGACTTCTCCTCTCTGACCAGTATCTCGGCTATCGAAGCTGTCTTGTGAAACTTTTTACACCTGTCTGGAACGCGAACGAAGACAAATTTTTTGCTCTATTAACAAGTTAACATCGAGCACTTTGCTCGCTAATCGCGCGATTAATTCGTGATTTTATCCTTGTTAGATTTTCTTTGACGAAACATAAAGTACTAATAGTGTTTTTTAATTTAATTTCATTCGAAATTGTCGGATACTTCGCTTCGTATTGGGACTCTCTCCATGGTCCGCCGCGGCATTTTCGGGATCTCTCCATGGTCCGCGGTTGGAGGATCATAATTCAACGTTAGATAATAGATGATCAGATTATCTACACCTTTGTTATTATAGAACAGCTCGAAATTTTGATGAATTTCAAGGAGTTTCGCCCCAGGTATCCGTATTCTTCCTCGGAGAATCCTGGTCCGCGATCCGCAAATTCGCGGCCCGTCCGTCGCGTTTATTTCCCGCGGGCTCGCCGTCGTCGCAAGGCTTCATCGTTTCAACAGCTCCGACGATGTTGTTTCTTCTCTCACCTATCCTTGTCTCCTCCGTCGTCGCAAGGGGAATTCTATCAGCCGTGGCGGAAGAGCTGACTGCGGGGCCGAAATATCCTCGGGAATTTAACCCAGATGTTGTTTTTCTTCCGAGCTCCACGGCATTTCAATGAAACCGTGTCCCCGTAGGATTCTGTCAGCGTACTTCTTTTTTATTCCTGTTTATTCCACTCTTCTCAACTTGCTCCCTTTCGTTCGCGCGACACTCTTAAGGGATTAGTCCGACAGCATCGTCGGGAATCAAAGATAAATCAGAATCGTCGTCTTTTCCGGCTCGCCTGACCCGTTGTGAAAAAAATTCTTTTCTTCGCAGAAAGATAGTTACAAAATTTTCTCCGACAGATCTTTCCATTCGCTTTTGTACATTTTTCCTTGCGTTTCGATTAATCGCAAAATGCACGGCGCACATCGTGCAGTAATAAATTCTCCGGTTGAATCCTGATCGTACCAGCGTTCTCGCGTTACCTGTGGTTTATCAAACGGAATCGAGTTATTCGTAGCGCGGCTCGTTCGTGTACGATCCTTTGAAAAGATCCTACGGGGACAGGTACGAGAAGGAAAGCGATTTCATAGCTGGTTCTTCGTCTCTTTTTCAACCGGCCAGTCACCCGGAGAGGTGAATATCTCCGTTTCCAAAAAATCTAAGACCAGTTCTACGACACCCGATGAGATAACTCAGTTCAGTTACGAGACTAGATTACAGAGAAATTATATAAGGAGATCTCGTTCACCTTTACGCACTCGCAAAAATAAAAGAAAAAATACATGACAATACGCGTTCGTCGAAGAAAATGATGGAAATTTGCATTTTCTTTCACCAGTGACCGACATGCTAATCGATTACACTTCATAAGGCAACTAGTACGCTGGTAGAAATTTTGTACGTATTATCAGTATAGTTAAAGCGTTAATTAACAGCAGATTGCACGGATGATACCTGACGGAAATGATATGCTAATCGATATCTGTTAGTATAAACGTGGTAAAAAAAATTTATGTCTTCCTTCCTTTCGATAGGAGTCGTTGAAGCGGCGTGTTTAAACTGTAAAAGTTGCATTACCCTGGTCACACGAATAAGTTTTCGCCGTCGTGTTATTAGGTAATTTGCATAAGTTTTATCTTCTGACCGCGAAGAGCAACGCCTCATCAGCCGCAGCCTGTTATCGTGAATCTCGAAGATCTCGTAAACACGAAGGTTATTTCGGTGTCGATGGAAAGCGTGATGGGAAACTTTTATTGTCCGCTTAATCATCTAACGACCCTTTCGCTAGAAACGTGCCTGTAAACGCGTTTTACTAACTGCTTATCGAAAGAATTCATCAATTAGAATTTCGTTAGAAATTTTCTTTAACATTCTTATGAAATAATATTCGTATTACGTAATAACGTTACACAATTGAAGGAAGATCGAAAAATGGTAATTGCAAGCACTTAGCACCAGATTGCAGTGTTTGTCATTGAACAACGTTAGAAGGACGGAAATTTAGTCACTGTTTAATCAACTTACTATCGCAGTGTTAATTTCTTCTTCGACCTCGAACGCGAGTGTCATTCAACGAACTTGTGTTTCTCCAGTCTATTAGAAGCTCGCTTTTACGATTGCATCGGTTAATTGCGCGCCAATTGTTTCTAATTGCCAGCCGAACCTTTTCGTTTCACGTGGAATAGAAATTTTTTATGTAACCATTCCGAAGTTTCTTTTTCGCTTGAAATTTCTTTTCTCATTAATCACGAGTTCGAAACGAATCAAAGGGTTAACGATTAAAAATGAAACTGTTGCATGTTGCGCGGCTATCGGGACCCGTGATTTTCGTAGCTGGAAAACATGGTTGCAATTGGAGCAGGTTAATTTCATTAAACTAATTCCAAGCGACACGAGAAGATATTCAGATTTCAGCGGATTCCGTTTCTTCTCGAGCAATCACGGTTGAACGGAGTCAGGGCTCTGTTTAAGCGTCTGCAGAGTAATTGTATCATTGCTTCCTGTCATTAATTCGATTGTGTAAGGCCAGTCTTCGTAGCGAGTTCCCGTCGGCTTCGAATTAAGCGTGGCAGAAAATTGGCTTCTTCGCTCGATTGTTGTCTCTCGAAATTCGGAACAATTAAGCGTTTCTCCTCGAATTCATTCGAGGGTGAAACGTTTGCTAATTTCTTTTTAATATGTTCTTCGATATCTTAAATTTCTTTTTATTTACGAAGCATTGTTTAAAAAAAAGAAATTAATTCGTTCGAGGATGAAACGTTTGCTAATTTCTTTTCATAAATTCTTCCATATCTTAAATTTCTTTTTATTTACAAAGCATTGTTTAAAAAAAGGTATTAATTCGTTCGAGGATGAAACGTTTGCTAATTTCTTTTCATAAATTCTTCGATATTTCAAATTTCTTTTTATTTACAAAACATTGTTTTTCAAAAAAATTAATTTCGATATACGAAGTTAATTGGATGGAAAACATTTGTATCG